GGATAAGATGAAGAGTAGATGTAGGCCAAAGAAGTCTTGGGGAGAGGTAATCATGCTGGACATGGCGCAGCTTGAGCTAACCGAGTACATGACCCTGGATAGGAGGGTGTGGAGGTTGAGGATTAGGGTAGAAGGTTAGGAGGTAATCGTGTGTTTTCCTCTGTCTTCATTAGTTCGATAGTATTAGTGTTAGTATGGTACCCCTTTTATCCTGAGTTTGCTATTATTGCATATCTTGTTCTGTATTTACTTGACATCAGTACTTCCTTAGTTTGATATTAATACTCCATTCATTTTCTCTATTGTTATGAGACCCTCGGATTTAGTTCTCTAAATATATTGTGTTGCTATTATTTGCTATCGGTACTTCTTTCATATTCCCTGTTGCTATCTTTGATTTAGTTTTCTAAATATATTATCTTGTTATGGCTTGCTATCAGCCCTTCTTCCATCTTCTTTAGCCGAGGGTCTATCGGAAACAGTCTCTTTGTGCTTTCCGGGTAGGGATAAGGCTACGTATATTCTCACCCTCTCCAAATCCCACTTGTGAGATCACACTAGAATGTTGTTGTTGTTGTTGATACTTCGTGTCTCCATCATTCATGGAATGAAGGAATCGATATTAGATCAGACATGATTGGATATACATGCGCACCATGTTAGCATCTGAATCTATATACACAATATTCTCCTTTCACTAAGGTTTAAAAATAAAAATGGAACTTGTCGGGTAGTCGCTGGAACCTTGTCAATTAAAATAAAAAAGAGACATAATAATATTCCCGCATGACATCGTTTATTATCCCAAATTACTCCCTCCATTTACTTTTATTTATTCGGTATTCTAAAAATAAATTTTTACTTTTACTTGTCACTTTTAGCACATCAAGAGAATACAATTTCTTTTTTCTTATTATACCCACAATATTAAATACTCATTTCAAATCACTTTTCAAATCCATTAAAAATATGCATCATTTAATATAGGTATCATGGTAAATTATGTACTTCATTATTATTTCTTAAGGGGTGTATAAAGTTCATAGTGGACAAGTTTAAATAAACGGTATGAGTATTATTTTAAGACACCTTGTTAGTTGTTACCCATTATTATGAAGCACCCCTATAATGTTATATTCTCTCCGTTCCATTTTAATTGTCACTTTAGTTTTTTTCACGTCCATTAAAAAATATACAAGGTATAATTTATTAAGTTACTCCTGTTAAATACTTTTTAAAAATTGAGCAGTACAAAAAACTAATATTTCTTTAATATTAAGGATATAATTGGAAATAATTAACAAATTTAATTTTGAAATCCTAGAGTGTCAGTTATTTTGGAATAATTTTGTTGAGCTAAATGGGATAATTAAAATGAGTTTGAGGAAATAACATAAAATCTTCACGAATTCGTTTAAGGTCAACCAGACAACCTGAAATTCACAATGGACCACAACTCCAAAACTTGGCTGAGTGATTAAATTCATACGGATTTTTTGAGTAATGCATTATCTCCTCAAAACTCGCGCTTTCATTTGTGCTTTCCATTTAAGACCATGATAAAGTTGGCCTTTGGGATATGTATATTTTTAAGGGAACAAGGTTAAATTTACCATGAACTATTTGAAATTAAGCAATTTATATTTTATTAGACTTTTAATTTAATCTTACCCTTACTTTTAGGTACAGCCCGTTTTTTCCCTCGACCCCTAAGAGAGCTCTAACCTAAGGTAATCTTTTCTTAGAGAATTTGGACATGTCGAGTTTATTCATTTCGAGCTAAAATAGCATTAATGATAACGGTAAATATGAAATGATTTGTTAAAACTTCAAAGCAAAGCTATAATTAGATCAAAATCTAAAGACAGGTGTACATGAACAAATGGGTACCTTCTTACTTTTGTTTTGGTGTTAAATAACACTTGCTGCCTTGGGACATTTGCATATATATATATGGGGTTACCATTGAATTTATATCTATATTGTACAAAATTTTGCAAAGTGTATCCGTTCGGATCTGAAATAGTTCAATCTATTTAGTGCTATTTCAGAACAAATCTGAAGTTCTCTTATCTTTCAACTGCAACTTTAGAAATTTAAATTTTAAGTAGTTCAATTTTTCTGTACAACTCCAGATTCAAATTCTTCTGTCTTTCGATTGCAACTTAAAAAATTCGAATATTAAAAAGTTAAATAAAACGGAACACATTTTGCAGATGAATAGAGCAGCCACAGCTTTTCACATAAGATTGTCCGCCAACAGGAAAAACAATTTACTGCAAAAACGTGAAATATCCGATGTGCAAACCCAGGGACAAAGCCATTAAGTAGACAAAACAAAATTTGTTTGCAACAAACAGATTACAAATGTCATAAGCATACATGAATTTGCTTCATCATTCGCCAGCTCGGTTTTTGGAAGTTACATACAATATATAGAGAAATTAATGCTTCATAATTATATGACATATTTTGTTTATTGAGGGTTAATTTAATTAATTTTCAAACTTAAGTTGAATTAAATTAACATAATATTTTAAAATTTAAATTTAAATAGTTAAATTTTAATATTTTGTCCCTTGAGCATTTAGAACCACATGTTTCATAAATCTTTTTTTTTCTTAAATTTTGAGTCAAGTCAAACTATGTCATCTAAATTGAAACGGAATAATTAATTAAAAATATTCAATCAAACTTGACACAATTTTATTTCGAAAAAAGAAAAAATATCATACGCACGCCATAGTCTCGACATATCGGTGGGCATCATACCATTCAAACACCGAAACATCTTCCCACATAACAGGGATCTTTCCTTTCTCTACAATCGCAACCTCCTTAATAATCATACAACGAGAATCATATTCAATGATAACATCTGGTGTACTTACCAAGAATCTTGTTGTCTGTTCCTTGTCATCCACAACAACACATACTACATTACAAGTGCGACGATTCACATCTACTAAATCAAATTCTTCACTCAACATTTGGGGATACATAGTACGAAGAGAACTAAGATCAACCCGATATTTCACAAACCACTTAGAGTAATCACTCTCCAATTCAAGAACTTCAAAACTCATTGTACTAAACCCCTGTACCTCAATAAGATGCAAATGTCCACTTGACTGCCCAAAATACCTTATATTCCTTTTTAACATGCCATTTGGAATCACAGTGCTAGGCATCATTTTAAAGCACAATGAATCCAATTCGAACCTTAAAAATGATCCATTTTCACTAACCCAATGCATACAGCCATTCAAGAAAACACCCTGAGCTAAAAAATATTCCTGCTTTATATCCAATATCTCCTTAGAATCTTTCCAAATCCCAGTTTCTGATGAGTATACAGAAAATTCATAAACCCCATTTGATTTAATGACACATACAAGTCTATAACTATCAGACACCATTGGATCAAAAGCCAAATTCATTACAATAACTTGACGAAGCTCTGTACCAGCTGGAAGTTGAATCGATCTATGCTGATTTGTATTGGGATTATAAACATAGTATACTTGATTTTCAACACCCAAATTGAAATTAATACAGAACAATCCATTACAAGAATGTAAAGATTCAATCTTTGAAGATGTACACTTGACAATATTCTTGAATGCTAAAGGAATCATACCCATTTGCTTTTTTGGCATGCCATTGATAGGGATGAAGTCTACATGGTTATTACCGTAGACCCACCAGCAGAAAAACAGTCCGTCAACTTTGCCGGAACTGTGTTTTCTCCGGCAGTGAAGTAGCCGGAATCTTTGGCTTGAAATGATAGAAAACCAATCTTTACAGACGGTTTGGAACCGAAGAAGTGATTTTGGGGGTAGCCGGAGGAGAATTTCCGTCAAGAGATCGGTGTTTCCGGTGACGGATGTCTGAAATTCTGCCGGCGCATCACCGGAGATTCCGTTTACGTATGTTCTCCACATTCTTTAGTTGGTACGGTTTTAAGGCCCTTCCTATAAATAGAAGGTGGAAACAAGAGTTTTGACATATTTAGTCCTTGTATTTTTTACATTTATTTTCAACAACAAATAACAACAACCCAATTATTTTCAATTAATTAAACTCTTTAGTTATTAATTCTATTTTCTTTTTTTGGTGATGTTGTGCTTCTCTTTTATACTTATTTCTTTGCAAAATTGTAAAATACTGTAGATCATTTGTGAAGGTGCGTTGTATGCATAATTTGTGACTTGTGAGTTACACATTATCTTTTTTTTTTTAAATAATGATTTGCATCCCTCATATATTTTATTTCTTCGCTTACACATAAAACAAATCATTTGTGAAAAAGAAAAAAATAGGAATGGTAAAATTTAAATATACACCATTGACCATACTATGATTTCCAACTTGAGGTCGTCAAATTGTTTATCTTGTACAATTATGTGGCACTACAAACTTTCACGTGCGATGATGATGTTTTAGAGCATTATCTTAAAAGGTTTTTGGGATATTGTCGGGAACTCACCTTTGGACTAGGCACTTGAGAAACGCATTGAGGTATACATATAGAATTTCATTTTATGAGACTTACCCTCAAGCATCAGGTTTGTGCCCTAGATGTTTGAAATTCTCTAATTAGTTTTGTGGATCCTCAAGATTCTTTAACATGTGACTTATAAAATTTAAAAAAGATTGAGAATAACTCAAATAATGAATTATAGTATTGTATATTTTATAATTAAAAACACCCCGAGAGTCAACATTTTATGATATTTTCATTGAAAATAGGTAATTGAAGCTTATATCTTCACTTGTTATCATTTTTTATGTCTTAGTTATCTGTCTCTCTACTTGAAAGATATTTTTCATTTATATATGAAAGAGTAACATTTTAAATTATAATACTGATAAAGTTTATTACTCTCTCTATCTCAATTTATATGGTGATATTTGACTACGTACAAAATTTAAGAAAGAAAAAAAATACTTTTGAAATTTGTGGTCTAAAATAAAACCATAAATATTTATGTGATTGTAAATCATTTCATTAAGGGTAAAGTAAAATCTTTATAGTTAAATTATTTATAAATAAGAAAATTTGACATTCTTCTTGGGACAGACTAAAAAGGAAAGTATGACATTTAAATTATATGGAGTAATTGTTTACTCTTAGGGAGGAAAAATGTGTAATTTGATAATGTTTCTTAAGAAGTTATGATTTCTAATTGTTAGAACGTTAGGACATGGCAATTGATTTTGTTGGCCCAAGTGAATGTTAGTTTTGAAGATTGACAAAGAAAGCTCAGGCATGAACCGGGTCTATCCTTTATGTGCATAGACACGGGCAGATTCGAGCATGTGGGAAGCACGTGAAGGAGATAAGCTTAACTTGGTCTAATTAATATCTCCTGATCGAAAAGGGTTGTATAATTGATAAGAAGAATGACTCCTTAATCAAAGAGAACACTATCCAAGATAAGGGAGGAGTTAGAGGTTGAGATCAATTAGAACTCTTCCACCAAGGAAGAGTAGTATTAGAACTCTAAGTTATTTTCTACTCTACTAACTCTATAAATCGCAGGATGTTCTCATTCAACGGGAATGCACCAAAGCATAAGTTAAATGTGAATTGAGAGCAAAATAGCAAGGCATTTTGCAAGCAATTCGTATGTGATTCAAGTGTGCGAACCTGAAGTTACATGAACCATATAGAAGAACCAGTTCCAAGTGTCTGTCTTTTATTCTAGTTCAATTGTAGTAGGTGTTTTCATATTGTACCTTTCAGCTTTATCTAGAGGCAATTGTAATAGGTACTCAGAGTATTCAAGTTAGAGTTAACTTGAAGTTGTCACAGTAGTTAGAGGCCGGTTGCCACAACGGGATTAGAGTTAATCCTAGGTTTACAAAAGTGTTTTGTAAATGCAGTTTTTGGCTCAGTGATTTAGTGGAGAGTTTGGGAAAATCCTACTGAAAAGTAGGTCGTGATTTTTTCACCTTTTGAGTCAGGTGTTTTCCACGTAAAATACTTGTGTTCTTTAATTTTTGTATTTATTATTCCGCAACAGTAGTATAAGGAACACATAGAAGAACCAGGTCCTTCTATAATTTGTGCACGCAAAAAATTAGATACCACACAAATCACTCCCCTCTTGTGTGGTATTGCAGTTAAAACATCAGATTTGTTTCTCATATCGAAAGTTTTTGCATTATTTATGCTTGTACAAGTGTACTAGACATTTTGTTTTCAATTAGCTTCTTTTTTTATACCTTTAAATTTTTTTTGAAAATTGATGTATTTTTCTTATGTTATTTTATCAATTAATTAATTATTTTTAAAAAAAATTAATGAGCTTACGTCCCATCTTGAACTTATGTCTCGCCTTGCATTAAGCAGTATACGTTCTCTCCGGCCTTAAAAGACACTGCTTTAAAAGTTTCTTTTAAGGATAATTAATCATGGAAAACGCCTATGATTTCATCTAAGATTGTTAATATGGAATATCTGGATTCACAAAACTAGACTCAGTTTATAATAAATGGATAATATTTAACATGGAGGGCTTTGATGCACGTCTCCACCTCCAGTTTTGTAGCCATCGACACCACACAGTCGCATCTTTTCTGACTTTATCTGTTACTATGTTATACATAAGCCAATGTAACTGATAAATGCAAATGTTAGGTTATTGTCATGAATAACTGAGATGACCACATAGCAGTTATGTTAGGGGTCGATGGTTGTAGCGACTGTTTACCCCATAAGTAGGTAACAATTAAATTTTTACGTGGTTTAAAGAATACATGGTTTAATCCAATACGAATAATTAAGAATAGCAGATAAATGAATTAAAGACGAAATAAACGATCAAAACAATCATAATGTTATGACTAAGCTTGATTTTAGATTAAACAGCGATCTCGTCCTTGGTTGGACCCTCGGTTCGAGCTTAGTTGTGAATGAAGAATAGTACAAGTGAGCAAAGTTCTTAACAGTAGCTAGAAGAGAAAAATAAATTTTATTTGGCCTGAATTGCGTGTTACAATGTGTGTTACAGAAGAAAAATTTCCATTTATATTGTAGGAGAGTTTCTTTCTTAGTATAAGTCTAAAAATAGGTAAAAATCTTCTTTTTTCGGTAATTATTGATCCATAATCGACATCGAGCGAGGTTCGCATTGTGATATCCGGTTGAGGGCGAGTATTACGACCCTTGGTCCATCATGCGTAACCGTTCATCGTGCCTCCCGAAGTCTGGAACTTACACTCGGCCCGGGCATGTTGCTTTACCGTGCCCGATGTCGGATGCACCGTTTACTCTTCCAGGGTCTCGATACGAAGGGTCTCTGGCCTCAGTTACAATCTCTCGGACCTGTGTTCCTCCTTCGTTCTCTCATCAGGGAATCGGAGTAGACATTACCTCCGATTTTACTCATATACAGATAGTCCCTACGTTTTCTGGAGGGTAGATTTATCGAAGCGGCGGGCAAAAAAGGTGAACCCCGGTTCCTTTCTTGGTACGTTATGACCGAGTTGTTGGGTCAACGAAACGTCCCATCAGTCGCGTCGTACTGACTTCGGACATGTGTCAGCCGCCGGTTGACTGTCCTCGAATGTGAAACGTCACGCGTTGATGGTTCTACCCCAGTAAAAACTCTGACCCTTTTCACTGCTCTACTTTCCGACATCAGAACTCTTCGACTTACCCTCAAATTCTCTACTTACCTCCAACTCTTTCAAATCTCCATACATTGCTCCTTAAACCTTCATATCTTCATCATCAATCTTCATACATTCTCTTTGAATCTTCAACCCAAATCTTCATATCTTCATCTCATCTTCAAATCTTCATATTTTTTCTTCAAACCTTCGTATTTTCAGATTCCGATGGCAAAAACTTTTAAATTAGTGCATCAGCAAGCCGCTCCTCCATCTTCCAACCTGGCCCCAGACGCCGATGTGACCATTCCTGAGGTGGCCCAGGAGCCTCCCTTGAAGAGCTTCGTATCCGGTGGCTGCTCTATAGAGAATGACTTTAACGTCGAGAAGGCCTCAATCAACAGAACCGAGGCGAGGGGGCATGGAGATACATATGTTCTGTTACTGAGGAAACGCTACCCACTGTCCGGGTAGACTATAATTGGGAGGGCAAGGAGGTGGTCGTCCCCGGGCCCAACGACGACATTATTACATATGTGGAGGGGTACTTGAATGTTTAAACTTTTCCCTTCACGCTCGCCCTGGTGGATCCCATAGTCCTCGACTTCTGTAAGAGTTATGAGGTGTGCCTTGGGAAGATTCACCCTTCATTTTGGAGGATCATTATCCTCATCCGACACTTCGTGAAAACCACCGAAGCGCCACGGTTCACCCTCAACCATCTGCTTCATCTATACAGTCCCCGAATCATCCGAGAGGGGTTGATCAAGCTCGTTCGCTGAGAAAGCAAGGCTCTGTTCTCGAGAATCGACGAGCACCGAGATCGAGGCTGGCAGGGAAGGTTCGTTCGGGTGAAGATCGAACACTTCATCCACTCCAAATTTCTACCGTTGCCGGAGAAGTGGAACACATCTCGTAAGTTTTTTCCCTCTTGAGCATTCGACATTCCCTTTTGTTCTTTTCTAATTGCCTGTGTTTGCCTTCGTGCAGTGGTTGTCCAATATCCCAATGCCATCCATCGCTTCAAGGAGTGGATCGAGGGGATCTGCAAACAGATGCCCTACCTCGAGCGCAAATGGAGTAAGCTCTCGAAGGGCAAGTGGGAGGCTCGTTCCCATGGTGAGGCTCTCTCTCGAATGATTATATTCTTACATGACACTTATCTTCGCTAAGCCTTCTTCCTTTTCACAGGTTTGCCTAAGACCACCAAGCTAAGGCCGTTGGATGAGGACGAGAATCCGTCCTCGCTTGCCGCATCCTCCACTTTGGGATAGCCCAGGGCTTCCGCAAATGAGGAGAAAAAGAAGAAGAGGAAGTCCTAGGG